AAACATGTAGATGAGGTGAACCACACAGCTTAGAAATAGTGAAAAAGTTAGGCACATCATGAAAACATATATGTAGATATTATTATTTTACCTTTACTACCATAAAGTGTATATAAACTTATAAAGTTAAAATTTGTGAAAACACACACACAAACATTTATAAACCATACATAGCATCATTTGCAGTAGAAAGGTAACCAAATGTAAAGATGCAATATTAAATCATAACTGCATAAAATTAACTGTAGTGCATACTGTACTGCTGTAATAATTTCATAGCCACTGCCTTTTGGTATTACAGTAAGTTTATTTATTTATTTTATTTGAGACAGATTCTTGCTCTGTCACCAAGGCTGGAGTGCAGTGGTCTGATCTCAGCTCACTGTAGTCTCTGCCTCCCAGGTTCAAGTGCCTCTCCTGTTTCAGACTCCCTAGTAGCTGTGATTACAAGCACCCGCCACCACACCCAGCTAATTTTTGTAGTTTTAGTAGAGGTGAGATTTCACCATGTTGGCCAGACTGGTCTTGAGCTCCTGACCTCAAGTGATCCACCTGCCTCGGCCTGCAGTGAGTTCAAATGTTCCAAATATCCACTTAAAATGCCATCTGACACTTACCTTCTTTGCATGGGCAGTCTCCTCTCACCAGTAAATTTTGTGTTGAAGTAAAAAGAGATCTGTGGGTCTCAAGTATTTTTCACTGTGTTTAGTGCAATACCATAAACCTTATATAACAGCATAGGACCCACACAAAGTGGCCATTAGTGATGTTGGAAATGCTGCCAAGAAACAAAGAAAAATTATGACACTACAATAAAAAGTTGAATTGCTTCATAGGTACCACAGATGAAATCTACAACTATGGCTGCTCGACGTTTCAAGGTAAATGAATCCAACATGAGCACCATTATTTAAAAAAAGAAAAGCAAATTCATGAAGCTGTTGCTGCAGCTATGCTAGCAGGCATAAAAACCATGCACTTTTTGTGAAATACCTTTTTATTCATATTGAAAATGCAGCTTTTATGTTAGTGTAGGATTGCTGTAAGAAAGCCAGACCTATAGACTCTAATATGACTCAAGAAAAAGATAAGTCATGATACAACAATTTAAACCAAAAGGAAAGTGAAGAATTTAAAGCTAGCAAAGTTGCTAGCTACTAGGGAAGCTGAGGTGGAAGGATTTCTTGAGCCCAGGAGTTTGAGGCTGTAGTGAGTTATGATTGCACATCTGCACTCCGGCCTGGGCAACAGAGAAAGATCCAATCTCTAAAAAATTAATGCCAGCGAAAGGTGGTTTGTTAATTTTAGGAAGAGGTTTAGCCTTAAAAATGTCAAGAAAACAGGAGATGCAGTTTCTGCTGACCAAGAGACAGCAGGTGAGTTCCCAGATGCCGTTAAGAAAATCACATTTTGGAAGGCTGAGGCAGGAGGATCACTTGAGGCCAGGAGTTTGAGATCAGCCTGGGCAACATAGCAAGACCTTGTCTCTATTTGAAAGAAAGAAAGAAAAACATTGAGAAAGCAGGATATCTGCTGAACAGGTTTTGAATGCAGGTGAAAGTGCCTTATTCTGGAAAAAAAAAAAAGTCACAAAGGACACTTAATAGTAAGGAAAATAAGTGAGCACGGATTTAAGGCAGGAACGGATAGGCTGACTCTACTGTTTCGTGGAAATGCAGTTGAGTTTATTGTCAGAACTGCTCTTATCTGTGAAGCTTCTAATCCCCAAGCCTCGAAGGGAAAAGGTAAACACCAGCTGCCAGTCATTTGGTTGTATAAAAAGAAGGTCCCGACAACAAGAACTCTTTCCAGATGGAATCCCTCGATGCTTTCTGCCTGAAATCAAGAAGTAACTTGGTAACAAGGGACTGCCTTTTAAGGTTCTTTTGATGTTGGGCAAATGCCCCTGGCCATCCAGAACCACATGAGTTCAACACCAAAGATGTTGAAGTAGTTTACTTGCCCCCAAACACCATGTCTGTAATTCAGCCTCTAGACTAGGGGGTCACAAGGCCCTTTCAGGCTCATTGTACACAGTACTCTATGGACAGGATTGTCAACTATGGAAGAGAATCCTGATAGGAGGGAAGTCTGGAAGGATTGCGCTATTGAAGATGCCATCATTGTTTTTGTTTGTTTGTTTGTTTTTCTTTTTGCCATTTTTAGTTTATTTGTGTGGCAAGTGGCAGGCATGAAGATGCCATCATTATTACAAAGCCCTGAAAGCCATCAAGCCCAAAACAATGAATTCCTGCTGGAGAGTACCGTGTCCCAATGTTAGCATGACTTCTCAGTATTTACAACAGAGCCTATCAAGGAAATCATGATAAAGATTGTGGATATGGCCGGGCGCGGTGGCTCAAGCCTGTAATCCCAGCACTTTGGGAGGCCGAGGCGGGTGGATCACGAGGTCAAGAGATCGAGACCATCCTGGTCAACATGGTGAAACCCCGTCTCTACTAAAAATACAAAACATTAGCTGGGCATGGTGGCGCGTGCCTGTAATCCCAGCTACTCAGGAGGCTGAGGCAGGAGAATTGCCTGAACCCAGGAGGCGGAGGTTGCGGTGAGCCGAGATCGTGCCATTGCACTCCAGCCTGGGTAACAAGAGGGAAACTCCGTCTCAAAAAAAAAAAAAAAAAAAGATTGTGGATATGGTTTTTTAAAAAGTGAGGAGTACAGGGTTCCAAGATATGAATCTTGGAGAAATTCAAGAGCGAATAGATACCACACCAGAGGAGGAATTACCATAGGACAACATGATGGAGATGAGTACTTCCAAACCAGTGCCAAATGATGAGGAAGAAAACAGAAAAAGCAGTACTAGAAAACAAATGGACCTTAGACAATCTGGCAGAAGGATTCCAAACATTCAAGACTGCTTTTGACTTATTTTTCAATATGGACCTTTCTATATGATACAGATACTGAAACTAACGTGAACAACAAACAAGGATTGGCACCATATAAAAATATTTCCAGGGAAATGAAAAGGCAAAAAAGTCAAATTACAGTATATTTCTGTAAAGTTACACTGAATGTGCCTGCCTCTTCTGCCTCCTCTTCCACTTTGTCCACCTCTTCCAGCTCTGCCACCCCTAGATAACAAGACCCATTCCTCCTCTTCTCCTCCTCCTCAGCCTACTCAACATGAAGACAATGAGGATGAAAAACTTTGTGATGATCCACTTCTACTTAATGAATAGTAAATGTATTTCCTCTACCTTATGATATTCTTAATAAAATTTTATTTTCTCTAGCTTACTTTATTGCAAGAGTGCAATACATGATACACATACAAAATGTGTATTAACTGCTTATGTTGTTGATAAGACTTCTAGTTAACAGTAGGCTATTAGTAATTTGGTGGGAAGTCAAAAAAATCATAATGCAGATTTTCAACTGTGTGGGGGGTCAGTGCCCCTAACCCTCATGTTGTTCTAAAGTTAGGGGCACTGACTAGTATAACTCCCTACAAATACATTCCTGCATATATTCCTAGGGTTTCTGCCAATTTAAGTTGGTGAAGTCTTGCCATTCTTTCAGTATGGCAGTCCCCAGGTCAGTCCCTACACTTAACGCCAGCTCACCATGGCGTGCTGGGATCCAACTGTAGTTACAAGATGGGAGACAATGAGAAGTGGTGGCGGTATAGAGGTGGGCCTTGAGGACAATATGCAGCCCCTTACAAGGGAAGTGCCTTGGGTGAAATCAATATCGAATCTTTAAACTAAATCTCCTTAGACAGGAGAGGAGGGACTGCTTGTGCTGGCAAGAGAGGCACTGTGTCCAGGGGGTTCAACATTATTAGAGTCCTCTCAGATGTCTTCATTCCCAGTTCTCAGGTTTCCGCACATTCCCAAAGCCCTGTTTTTCACGTAAGAAACCTGGCAAGCCTGTGAAATCAATTACTGCTGTCCTTCTGCAATCCACTTGATATTTGTGATTTGGTTTTTTGATATATTGGTCTTCTGACTACAAGTGAGAAATTATTTTAGGACACTCACAGAAGGTCCCTGGTTCTCAGACAATGCCTTGTTCCAGTAATTAAATCCCCAAGTTGGACATTTTCTTCTAAGCTCAGTAACATGGTCAGATGTGGCTAGCCCACCTCACAATCCTTGTAGTCCTCAATTCACTTTTTATACCACTCATGTGGTCTTCTAAAGCACCTCATTACCAGAAACTATAAGTAGTCTAAAAGTATAAACTTTTAAAAGTACAAACTTAATTCTTTTGCCATGGATTGCTAGAACTAGTGACAAGATTATATCGCCTTCAAAGCTAGCCAGGTCAGATGACCAATCCCAAATTCCCAACTTTGAGTTTCTCATCACTATAGTCACTTCTAGAGCCAAATACTTTATCAGAGTTAATTCAAGAGAACAGCTTTCACTTTATATATGTTAAGCTGGGAGATTTTTGGATGCTTTGTTTTGTTTTGTTTTGTTTTGAGACAGGGTCTGGCTCTGTCACTCAGGCTGGAGTGTGGTGGCATGATCTCAGCTCACTGCAACCTCTGCCTCCTGGGCTCAAGCCATCCTCTTACCTCAGCCTCCCAAGTAGCTGGACTACAGGTACACACCACCACGCCTGGCAGATTTTTGTATTTTTTTTTAGATATGGGGTTTTGCCATGTTGCCCAGGCTGGTCTCAGATTCCTAAGCTCAAGCGATACGCCTGCCTTGGCCTCCCAAAATCTTGGGATTATGGATGTGAGCCACCATGCCCAGCCTTGGAAGATTTTTAATAAAGGGAATTAGATGCTTACAAAATTATTGGGAAGGCTGGGGAAGCAAAAGGCAAGGGAAATATCTGCTGACTTTCAGAAAATCTGGAAGTACAGGAAATCTCATGAAGCTACTATGATCTCAGAAGCAGGAGTGACTATAAGCTTTTTTTTTTTTTTTTTTTTAGCAGAAAGACTTTGCCAATTTACATTTCTTCAACATTATACCTTTGTCAGGTCAGAATTCTCATTATTTTTCAATGTTTTTCAGCATGTCAACAGCAACCAGGAATTATCAGAGAAGCTGTCTAAGCTACAGCAAGAGAAAGAAGCTCTACATGAAGAATATGTGCGATTATTGAAGCTACTTAATGTCCATGTGAGGTAAACAAAGACAAGTTCTCTTTGGAAGAAAACTATGTGGAGTAGTTATTTCTTGCTGAGCCAGCTCTAGGGCTAAATAGCAGGCTGTTCACTGAAGCACCCTTTCAAGAGGGCCATCAAAAAATCCCTGTGTTTCCAAAATTTCTATTCATAGGTCTTTTCCTAGAGAGATGTGGGGCCTAATTTCTTCTCAAGAGAGTGAGGGAGAAGGGGATTACCAATCATTGAGCTTTGATGGTATTGAACTTGTTTTTCCCCAAATACACCCTTCTCACTTGCCTTACCACTTTTTTCACCTCACACACCTTCCTCAGCCTGAACCACTCTCTCCTCATTTAAAGAGCTTTTTTATTTTTTTACTTCAGAGAATTGACACAGAATATTACTAATATGTATATTATATAGGTGTTATATATAATGATAGAAGATATCTATTACAGATATGATACATGCTCTCTCTCTTTCTATACATACATACATCTATGTATATCAGGCAAATACCATTGTCCAAAGGTAAAATGACATTTGGTTTTTAGGCAGTTAAATTTTTTTTCACTTCACATATAATGAAATAACATTGCAAAAAAAAAAAAAAATTCTTTTTTGTGATAGGATCTCACTCCGTCACCCAGGCTTGAGAGTAGTGGCATAATCACAACTCACTGCAGCCTTAATGTCCTGGGCTCAAGTGATCCTCCCACCTCAGTCTCCTGAGTAGATGGGACTACAGTCACGTGCAGTCACACCCAGCTAACTTTTAAATTTTCTAATAGAAATGAGTGGGTCTCACCATGTTGGCCAGGCTGGTCTCAAACTCCTGGCCTCAAATGATCTTCCTTCCTTGGCCTCCCATTATAGGTGTAAGCCACTGTGCCCAGTGCAAATTTTTTTTCATAATTCTTTATGGCACACCTCTCTGCTGTGATCAGTGTAAAATTTTTGAATGAAACAAAACTTATGCAGACATTCTCCGAAGTTTACTCCTAGTGTCTTGTCAATAAACATAATTTTACACTTTTATTATCATAGCTTTTGTAAAAGTTTTATACCATCTTTCTTTTAATATCATCTGATAAGCATTGTGCTTTGTTGCTATAGTTTCCAAATTTGGTATTTTCATAAAACAATATTTCATGACGTTGATACGCCTTTCCACTAACAGCAGCAGTTAAACAGGGTACAACAGTTAACAGACTAAAAGAACCCAAAATTACAGTGCTAATAAATGTATACCTTATTTCGGGAATAGGGTGTAATATAGAAACAGCATTAGAGGAAGAATATGCATTAGAGCCCATGGGTGTTTCACAGCAAGGGGTCCAGAGAAGTCAGGCAGGAGTTGGAATGCTGTTCCTCCTGTAAGGGCCGTGGCTGAATGCACTTCCTCTCTGAGATCAGGAACCACTTGTGTGCATTGACCACCTCACAACCAGGGAGCCCAAAATAGAGTCTCAGCTGAGATTTTGTCAAATATATTTTATATTCTGTTGTTCACATAAGCATATTTCTGCCATGTAACCTGGTTCAATAGCAGAGACTTCTTGGGGGTCTCACTGAGACCTGGTGCAAACCATCATTGTCATTGTTATCAATAAACAATGCCGATAAATTGGTACAAACTGCCCTGGTTTGTACTACTTGGACCTGAGTGAGGTTATGAAGCCACACTGTTTTAATCGTTACATTTCCCTCTGTAACATGCTTGACCAACAGTCAGTGCCAAACAGGCGCTTTAGCAAAACAGTTTAGGTTAATCCTAGATCTGCTGGAATTAAATCTCACAACAGAATCCTAATTTGGTTAAGAATTACTCACTGCTCTAATGGTTGAATATTTTTATTCAAAACAATGCTGAAAAAATCATTTTGGTATATATATTTTTCATTTTTAAATTTATTTTTATAGAACTAGAGATCTTAAAATGTATTGACAAACATTCTGAAGTTTCCTACCATGACCAGAAAGGGATCCTGAACCCAGACCTTAATAGAGGGCTCTTGGATCTCATGCAAGAGAGAATCTGGGCTAGTCTAAAGAGTAAAGTAAAAGCAAGCTTATTAAGAAAGTAAAGAAATAAAATAATGTCTACTTCACAGACAGAGCTGCCCCAAGGGCTGCTGGGTGGCTATTTTTATGGTTATTTCTTGATTATAAATATTCTTGTTTTCAAAATAAACTCTTGAATATAAATATTATTATAAAAAATTCTTGTTTTCTGGGAAGGAGGCAGGAATTTCACAAAACTGAGGGTTCCTCTTTTTTTTAATTTATATGGGATAACTTCAAAATGTTGCCATGGCATTAGTAAACTGTCATGGTGCTGATGGAAGTGTCTTTTATCATGCTAATACATTACAGTTAGCATATAATGGAGAGTGAAGAGGAAAGGAGGTCACTTTCATTGCCATCTTGGTTTTGGCGGTGTTTTGGCTAGCTTCTTTACTGCATCCTGTTTTATCACTGGGATCTTTGTGACCTGTATCTTGTGCGGACTTCCTGTCTCATCCTGTGACTAAGAATGCCTAACCTCATGGGAATGCAGCCCAGCAGGTCTCATCCTCATTTTACCCAGCCCTTATTCAAGATGGAGTTGCTCTGGTTCAAATGCCTCTGACACTACTAAATTTTTCTGCCATCATTATATAAAAGTACCAATTTTACCACATCCTCATTAACATTGAGTGCTACTATTGTTGGGGGAGAGGGGTTCTGATGACATTTTCCCCAATATTCTTTGTTTAATTGAGATATAATTTGCATGTAACAAATGCAAAGATTTTTAAATGTACTATTGGATAAGTTTTGACAAATGTTTGTGCCCATGTTATCACCACTCCAATCAAGATACAGAACAGGGCCAGGTGCAGTGGCTTACGCCTGTACTCCCAGCACTTTGGGAGGCTGAGACGAGCAGATTGCTTAAGCTCAGGACTTCAAGACTAGCCCAGGCAACATGGTGAAACCCTGTCTCTACCAAAATACAAAAATTGGCCAGGCATGGTGGTATGCATCTGTGGTCCCAGCTACTTGGGAGGCTGAGGCAGGAGGACCACTTGAGCCCAGGAGGCAGAGATTGCAGTGAGTCACTGAGCCAAGATCATGCCACTGCCCGCCAGCCTGAATGACAGAGTAAGATTCCATCTCAAAAAAAAGAAAGAAAAAAATAGAGAACATTTCCACTGTCCCTTAAAGTTCTCTATGTCCTGTTTGCAGTTGATCTGTACTTACTGCTTCTCCCTCCCTCCAGTGGCCACTGTTCTGATTTCTGCCTGTCCTAGAATTTCATCTAAATGGAATTATGCTACATGTAATTGTAACCGTAATAGGTTTGTTGCCCAATGTACACAGCAAGTCAACACACTAAGACATTGGGTTGCAGCAGAGAAAGAAGTTTAATTATAGAGTCAACAAATGAGGAGACGGGAGGAAACCTTAAATTCATCTCCTTGAGGAACTTAGATTTAGGGTTTTTAAGAGTTTTAGATTGGACCAAAAAGTGGAGGTGGTTGGTAGGTCAAAGAGTCCAGGGTGAAGACATGGGACAGGGAGATGAAGAAGCTATATTCTCATGCTGATTCTGTTCCTTTTTGGGGCTCTTCAAACTGGTTGCTGGAATTTGCATCTAAAAAACCTCTTAAGCAATTCCTTTTTTTTTTTTTTTTTTTTGAGGCAGGATCCCACTCTCGTCCCCAGACTGGAGTACAGTGGCACAGTCTTGGCTCACCGCAACCTCCGCCTCCCAGGCTCAAATGATTCTTCTGCCCCAGCCTCCTGAGTAGCTGGGATTATAGGCATGTGCCACTACTGCCCGGCTAATTTTTGTATTTTTAGTAGAGACAGGGTTTCACCATGTTGGCTAGGCTGCTTGGTCTCGAACTCCTGACCTCAAATGATCCACCCGCCTCAGCCCCCCAAAGTGCTGGGATTACAGGCATCAGCCAGCTCACCTGGCCAAGCAATTCTTAAACAAAAACTTACAATTCTAATGTTAATGTCCTGTCTATAGGAACAATGGAGATGCAAATGATCAGTATCTAATGCTGTGTGACTTTTAACAACAAGGAAGTGGACCAAAGTGAAGCCTGATAAATGTTTTATTATCATTATATTTCTGTCCAGAACCCAGTATATACTTCCTGTCAACCCTGTCGGGGCAGTTTCATACTCTTTTGTGTCTGACTTCTTTTGTTCAACATAATCTATTATTTTTAAACACACTTATAGACAGAAATTACTTGTCATTTTGTTTTGAATTTCTTTAATGGCAAGTGAGGCTGAATGTTTTTCCATGTTATTTGTACACAGCCTTTTAGGGCAGTGAATTCTGACCCTGGCTGCCTGGGCTCCAACATAGATGAATAAAATAAAAACCTGTGGGCATGGGGCCTGTAGATCAATACTTTTCTAAAAGCATCCTCATGTGATTCTAATGTGCATCCGAGGTTGAAAACTATATTCAGGAAAGAAAATGGGAGGAATTAATGAAACTCTATATAATTTTTTTTCATTTCCCTGACCCCAGTCCGACTTTCACACACAATGCTTATTTTTTACATTTTCTCTACCACTTTTCCAGAGGAAAAATTCCCTTGCTTTTTTCACATCAAAGTATAGACAACCTGGTTTTACTTGAAGACAAGCTAAAAGTTGTTCCTAAATTTTAGAACATAAATATTGTATCACCTCATAACATTTATAGTTAACAAAGCCAAAAATAAACATGGAAAATCTACGTGTTCTTCAGACAAGACTTCAGACCAAACCAATAGTGTGACAAATAGCCAGCAATGACAAGGGAAGGCTCCAAGTTCTCACCAGGTGTACTGCCTCAACATGCTTTTCAAACCATGTGTAGCACTACAGAGAGTACCCTAAATATCAACTAACAGGAGACTAATTAGGTGAAGTATAATACATTCACTTAATAGGACGTAATACAGCTGTGAAGGCTGATGGCTGTGAATATTAGATAACAACGTGGGTAAATGCTTTTAATGTAA